AGGACAACTGACCAAGCTGCTGTATTTGGACTGAAACTGTCACTACTACCACTAGTACTGCTACTGTAGCTACTAGTATTACTATATAATTACCTGACGTAAACCTATCAGAGTGGGCCCATTCCCAAATATTAAATAGTAAAGGTTAGGTTTAAAAAACATTTGGCCAGGAGACTTTTGGCCAGATAATTGCAGGATTTAACAATAAAACATTTGAAGAAAAGTGTTTATTAATTCTTCTACTTTTTTCTCATTTTACCTCCCAGCGGTTATAATGATCTGTATCTACCCGAAGATTTTCCTTGCTTCACAGAGGCAGGTACGCAGCATCCAGAACACAAAGAGTTTTTCTGACGTGTTGGACCCCTTTCTTTCTCTGTTTTACCTTTCAGATTTTGAATCTTGTGTAAGTGCCAGTTGCTGTGGTTGAAACATTTAAGTGGCTTGTACTGTCAAATTCTATGCTCAACCCTTTTATTTATGCTTTCTTGTACAGCTGGTTCAGATCAGCTTTTACAATGATCACATCGAGAGAGATATTTCAAGGTAATTTTGCTAACTCAAATAAAGACGGTCACTAGGCTACTGATTAATTTTTGACTCAGTAAAGATTAAGCAGGTCATTAGACTGAAACTAGTACTATTGCTTCATGTTTTGTATGTTTTTAAAGTATGCTATAGAAATTACATTGAAGGGAAAACACTGACTGGGGCACAAACAGAATTGCATTGTAATGAGCTGTAAGTTTTCATCATGTAAACACACTATGTGTCGGCCACATAGCTTCACAACCTCACCACTGGATGCCATTAAATTTTACACACTGCACCTTTAAAACAATAATTAATAGGTTAAAGTGAACATATGGTTAATTATTATGATGTGAATAGCTATTGTATTAAATGTATTAATCTGTGTGTTTGTATAATTATTGTTCTGTCTTTAAATGTAATATTGGGAGCTTAAGATACTAAATACCTGGCTAACAAAATGCAATACTCTTAAAAATTAATAAATACAAAACACAAGAACAAAATCACACTGTGTTTGTCACAGTAGACACTCTAAGGGAAAAAAGATTTCACTTAAAATCAATAGTAGGAAAATTAATATTTGGTTGCAACTCCTGACATTTTTGGGTTAGGTTAAGTTAGTATACTGTTAAAAATGAATTTAAACTCTTCAAAGTGATTCAACAAATTAATCTTCTTAAAACACTTTGTTACAGACTCAAAAATATGCATTACATAAATGTATAAAAAAATGACCTTTTTAGAAGTCTTTTTTGTCATTGACAATGTCTTCCTTTTTCTAAAAGACAAAAAAGTAACGTGTTGGAGCTAGTTCTCTGGAATAATAGAATAACAGCTGTACAAAAATTAAATATGCCTGTCTTCCTCTGCCTCTGTTGACTGCTGTGGTGAGCGTCTGGTGGCTTCTCAACTTTTTTTTCCATTTTTCTTTGATTTGCCATCAATTTTCCTAAAACTGCCAAAATTCAAAATCTACACAGTTGATGTCTTGTCCCAAAAATAATCAGAAGTGACTAAATAGTAGAACGAAAAGTAATAATAGTAGTACTATATATATATAGCCAAAACTAGAAATTGGCATTTTAAACTTTGTTTGTTGTAATTGTTCTGGTGCTTTGCATTGTGGGACACAGTAGGCTAGGTAGACTGATCTGATGCATACTGGAGATTATTCTGAATCAGTAAAACATCCATGTATTTTTTTGCACTCTGGACCTTTAACTATACAGTATGCACAATCTATATTCCGGAAACAAAAACATATTTATTTGTTTCCTATCTGTCATAAAGTATTATAGAAACAATAGGTTGTAAAGTCTTGACAGGGTTAACTTTCGTTGCCATTTGACCCTCTACGACAGAAACCCCCACTGTGAGCTGGTCAATTAAAGTCCATTGACAACTGTTAATTTGGTTGTTATTTTTCTGTTGTCTATGTGCACATAACACCATGACGTAAATCAAAGAAGATTGAATCATCATTTTTACACCATTTAGAAAGCTTCTGGATTGATTTTCAGTCAATAACCAGAATGTATTACCTAGACCATAAGGAGGGCTATTCTCACATTTCTTGTTTGCTCCTTGTTAAATTGGACTCTGTGGTGTATTACTGTCATTATTCAGATCATTAAGTGGCCACACATTTGTTTTGTGTGTGTGTGTTGTGTGTGTCTGCTGTGTGTGTGTTTGTGCCAAATGCAGCCAGGGACCAACAACCTCACCATCATTCACACCTCTAATTGAAGACTCTTGCATCACATCATCTAACTGGAGACATAATTATGAAGACATAAGTGAGCCTTTGGATCAACGTGTATTAAACTTTAATTTTTTTTTAAATATGACATAAGAGCACTTGTATTTTAAACCATGATATTGCTTTTAATACCAATATCAGGAAAAATAAACATTACATTGATAAAAGTACACACAGGGTAACAAACAGTAAAGCAATAAACTATAGTTATAGTTACAAACAAATAAAAAAGAACAAAATAAAGTTGTTGTGAAAACAACAAGTTGGAAATTCTTTTCTTTTTAAGGAACCTATTTTATCTATCGTAGCTTCTCCGGCCTGCTTGAGTTTGAAAACACAACTAAATTTGTTGATGATTCTTTCGTTCAGTTCCTGGATTCATTGTCGCTGACTATGTACTTCCTTCATTTTTCTAAAGCTAGCTGGCATTATCATTCAACTGCACATCAGTCCACACATCAAGTCTTTTTCTGGTTAAAACTCTGGTTAAAACTGATAGTATCAGTCGTATCAGTCATTTCAGCAAGTGCCCCACAACAAGTGGCCGTAGTAATAATGACAGGAGCAAAGGAGGAAGTCAGGTGATTTTTGTGCCTACAATGGGCATGCGAGCATCAGAACTGGACCACAGAGCAAAGTGACCTGGTCTGATGAACCCCTTTTTCTTTTGCATCTTGTGGATGGCCGGTTGCATGTACGTCGCTTTTTGCTGGATATTTATACTATTAACAGTAGCAGTAAGTTCAGCTGAGTTGTAAAGTAATTACACCACATGCATTTGGCAGTTCCAAAACTGCAGCATTCACCTGTTTCGTTGCTGCAGAAATCAATTGTTCCTAAGCTGAAGAAATCATCTGTTCCTGAGTTGCAGAATTCAGAAGGATTCTGTGAAGAAGCGACTCCCTGTGTTACAAGTCTGTGGTGAAACAATACCTTGATCGTCATTTGGCGGGGGTTTCCAGAGCGGTTCTGCCAGTCTGGTCGTCATCATGCTCATCATCCTGCCCATCCTTTGAAGCTTCTTCTTCGTCGCTAGCAACCAGTGTCTCATCCAGAACTGCTCCGGACTTCTGCCCTTCCTCCTGGTTGTCCACTAGACCTGCTCCGCCCAGACATAGGCCACACATCACTGCGGTGCTGGACAATCTACATTGGTTATCCATCAAATGCAGAATTGATTTTTAAATAATTTGATTTACCTATAAAGGACTACATTGGCTGGAACCACCTTATTTTACTGAAGTACTGGGTCCTCTGACCTGGGTGAGATCCCTGAGGTCTACTGACCAAGGCCTTCTGGCGGTCCTAAAATCTAGGCTTAAAACCAAAGCTGACTAAGCCTTTACAGTTGTGGCTCTCACCCTCTGAAACCACCTTGCCCTAATTATAAAAAAATGCAGAGTAAGTTGATAGCTTTATAAAGCTGCTAAAAACGTAGCTGTTTTGTAAGTACTTTGTTTTGTAATGATTTTTCGCCCTTTGTGTAGTTTTTATTTTTTTCATATTGTTATTTCCTCTTTAAACATTCTTTTTGCAGTGTACAACACCTTGTGACTTTAGTTTTGAAAGGCGCTTTAAAAATAAAGTTGAACATGAACTACAGTCTCCTGCGTGAAAGTCTTTTGTTTGTTTCACACATCCCCTCCTCCATACACAGACTTTCTTACTCTTACCATGTCACCTGACTCTGAATTCTGAATAGCGAAAAACTTTATGCTAGACTGAGCATCCAAAAATTAAGCTGGAGGGGTACCTACTATGTAGGGCCACTGACCAAGCTATACTGTATTTGGCGAGTTGCGAGGGAATGGACTGAAACTGTCACTACCACTACCACTACTGCTACCAGTGTTACTGTAGCTATTAGTATTACTATATAATTACCTGACATAAACAGGATCAGAGTGGGCCCATTCTCAAATATTAAATAGTTAGGGTTAGGCATAAAAAACATTTGGCTGGGAGACTTTTGGTGTTATGTCCAAGATCGTAGTACCTAAATGGTAATATTAGCAGCTTTGGTGAAATGAAAGGATTCAAAAAAGGGTTTAAAAAGTTAACCTCATCTTCAGTACAGTATCTTGCTCTGGCACAGAAGATTGATTGATTGGACAATTACAGAATGTATTCATTATAGTAAATGAGAGAAAGGTTAATAAAAGTCAAGACTGTGCCCAGTGGAACAGGAAAAAGGAACACCCATCATCTCTGATACGTGAACTACGTGTTTAAAAGGTAAGACATGAACTGAAACGCTCGCTTTTCATCTAGAGAAATAATATATTATACAAGGCAAATAGTTTTTGTTGTTGTTGATGTTTTTTTAATATTGTTAATCATTAATGGAAACTTAATTTACAGGAACCCAGAAACATGGCACCAGAAGTCACTGACAACCGTTCTTACGTTTACTTCCATCCCTGTTATGAAATAGATAAAGTGTCTTACACACTGACAAGCACCCCTTCCACAGTATGTGTTTTATTATATATCTTCCTTGGCTCATTGTCTGTTGTCACAATATGTGGAAACCTTCTTGTAATAATCTCCATCATTTATTTCAAACAGCTCCACACTCCTACTAACTACCTCATCCTGTCTCTGGCTGTGGCTGACCTGCTTGTAGGAGTTGTAGTTTTTCCTTTCAGCATGGCATTCTCTGTAACCTCATGTCTGTATCATCAAGATTTATTTTGTAAAGTACGAGATGGCTTTGATGTAACACTGAGCACATCTTCCATTTTGAACCTATGTTGTATTTCCATAGACAGATATTATGCAGTGTGTCAGCCTCTGACATACAGAACTAAAATAAATGTTCATGTTGTTGTGATCATGATCCTGATGAGCTGGAGTGTTTCTCTTCTAGTTGCAATTGGCCTTATGATTGCAGGATTAAACCATGAAATATGTAAAGAAAAGTGTTTTAGTGATATTGTACTTGCAAACATTTTTTTCTCATTTTACCTCCCATCGATCATAATGCTCTGTATCTACCTGAAGATTTTCCTTGTTGCACAGAGACAGGCACGCAGGCATCCCAGACACAAAACGTTTCTGGAGCAACGTCAGGTAAGGATGGAGAGAGGGCAAAGGCCACCAAAACTCTTGCTATAGTTATGGGAGTTTTTCTGATGTGCTGGACCCCTGTCTTTCTCTGTGCAAACTTGCAGTTTTTGAATCATGTGTCAGTGCCAGTGCCTGTGTATGAAACATTCATCTGGCTTGCACTATCAAATTCTATGCTCAACCCTTTTATTTATGCTTTCTTTTACAGCTGGTTCAGATCAGCTTTTAGAATTATCATATCGAGAAAGATATTTCAAGGTAATTTTGCTAACTCAAAACTGCATTGACATATTCTTTGTGCTGAATACAACTACTGATAACATTTGGCACAGTAAAGATTAAGCATGTAATGTTACCTCTGTGTCATGTTTTATGTTTTTTTTTGTCATTATTGTATAAAAATCACATATTAACGTGAAACACTGACTGAGGCACAAACCTCTGTCTGTTAGTTTGTCAGTTTCTCATTATCAGTCAGTTTCTCATTATAATGAGCTGTCAGTTCATGCAGTCATGTAAATCACTAAAACAAGCAATATCCTGATTTTGCTTGGTCGAATGTTTAATAAGTAAATATTCAATATTTATTATTGCCTTGGACTCTAAATGTGTTGGCCCCATTCTGACCAAAACCCCCCCACAAACTTCACTTTGTGTGTCATCATTTCTACAAGGGCCAAGTTGTATTTTAGCATTTAAACACAAGTCTGATTTATTTAATTGTTTTTAATGGCCCTATTCAAACATGAACATTGTGGATCATGCTGTGATATTATGGATAGTGTTAAAGGGGGCAAAAGGATGAGAATGTGAACTTTCAGATTTCAGTTCTTCTCACCATATCAACTAAATGTTTCTTACTGAGTTTGGACTGGGATTCTACGGGTCTCGAAACATATGTGTGGGAAAATTGCTTGACATTGCCCCCTATTGAGCAGCCCTAACGACACATTTCACATACGAGTATGAAAAGTGGTACACATGTAGATCATATATCAAATTCCCAAAACACGTCCCAAATGGCAGCATTTTAGAGTTAGTTGTTAGTTTTGCACATGAAAGTGTCAAAGTGGCTTGATTGTGCCGCCTACAAAGTTTAAAAAAGCAGACCCAAAGTGCCGTTTCACCAGCATGTATGAAAATCAGTAGGACTATGTATCATGTTAAGATGTACAAAAAAAGCTGTCTCAGCTGCCCTGAGGGGAGAGGTGTGGGGTGACCAGAGAGGGATTGGGAGTGGATGAGTCTCTGACAGGTTTAAACTCTGGTTCCAAACCTCCCTTGTGTTGTTATGTTGGAGGCACTCCTCCAGCTTTTTCCTGTAACTGACCTCTCCTTTCCTTATCTCCCATCTCAGCTGCCTTTGAACACTCATCAGCTCTTCTTTGTCCCCAGATCTGAAAAGTATCTTCTTCTCATTCAGCATGGCCTTAAACTCAGAAGTCACCCAGGGCTTTTTAATGGAAAAATACCAAACCTTCTTCGTAGGCACAGTGTTCTTTACACAGAAGTTTATATAGTCTGTGATGCAGTGGGTGAGCTGTCAATGTCCTCCCCATGTGGCTCACAAAGCACTTCCCAGTCTGTGGTGTCAAAACGTTTCTCTGTGCCTCACTGATCTCCTCATTTTCTCACATACCTTGTGGTTAGGGATTGTTTAAAGGTATGTAAACAGGCAGCAGATGAACCAGGCTGTGATCTGAGTGACCAATTGGGGGGAGGGGCAACTATATACATACAGTAGATCCAATGTTTTATTTTCCATGGTGTGGCATTCAGTGAGTGGAGAACATGGAAGCATGGTTGAAGTCTCCGGAGATGAGGAGGAGGGACTGTGGGAGCGGTGTCTGCAGCTGTAAAACGACAATGTGTAAGAGCTCACAGGCCACTGTAGCATCGGCTGAAAGGGGGATGTACAATACATGTACAAATGGGGACTGTTATTGCAATAACGTCCCCGCAGTTAATAAGCCCGCATGCCAACAGCTAGCAGCTCAATGTCGTTGGTGCAGCCTTGCTCTTTAACACTAATGTACCCAGGATTACACCATCTGTCAGCTAATCCCACCAGTTGCATGTCCTTATTTTCATGTGTAACGATGGAGATAGTGTAGAAAAAATGTAGGAAAAGCACGAAAAAAAACGCTAGAAATACACTAAACACAGAGCTGTAGTAACAGCCTGCAACTCAAAAATACTGCAAGTACACTCTAAGAGTCCTGCCCCACAAGTTTTCTCTCAAGAAGGGACAGCTCTCCAGCAGCGACATCTTCATGTTATCGCTGTGATGGATTCTAAAACTTATTTCTATTGATGGTTTATGTCTGTGGCTTAATTAGTAACCATTGTGCCTGCGGCGGATGCTCTACTCTAATCAACCCCTAGCCTATAATGTTTTTGTTCAAATGTCATCATTTATTAGACTATATAGAATTTTGCTGCCTATGGCCTACAATCTGACAGTGCCCAAGCAAAACAAGACTAAGCCATGCTAGTAGCTTTGTTTATTATTTATTTTAGCATGTTAGCATTTGCTAATTAGCACTGAACAAAAGGGACAGCTGAGCAAAATGAGAATAGAATATGTCTGGAGCAACTGTCAGTAAGATGGAGAGAAAGGCCACTAAACCTCTTGCGACTGTTATGAGTTTTTCTGATGTGCTTGTTGTTTTTGCTTACTCAAAAATGCTTTGACATATTCTTTGGAGTGCGAAAGTAGCTAAGAGAGTTTGTGCTGATAAAATTTGGCACAGTAAAGATTAAACATGTCATTAGAGCCTGTACCTTTGTGTTATGTTTCATATATTTTTTAATTATTATAGTGAAGTATAAAGAGCTACCAGTTTATGCCATCATGTAAATGGATTAAACACACTATGTACAAATGTACATGTATATCCTGACTGTGCATTTTGAATGTGCAATATTGTAAAACTTTCAATATAATATTCTCTTATTATCTTTGAGTTTGTGTTTAAATTAATAGAAAAAATACATACACACCACAACCACAATTATGAACCTCGTGGTGGCACTAGAGCAAGTTAGTAGGATTCATAACCTGGGAACCATGAATGTTTGTACAAAATGTTCAATTCATCAAGTTATTAGATATTTATTAGAATAAGTGAAAAATGTAACCTGCTGGGTTACTGGAAGAAAGTTCCGGGATCACCAAAGTCAATAGGATTCATCCACTGGGCACCAAATTGTACATCAGTCCATTTAACTGTTGTTAAGAAATGCTGCAAAAACCTAAAAATGTGAACTTCATGTTGGCACTAGTGGGAAGGATCACAAAAGTCAGAGGGATTCATCCTCTGGGGACCAATAATGTTTGTGGACATTTTTATGTAAATTGTTTTAATAGTTGTAGAGATATTTCACTGTGGACATATCTTAACAACCATTAAACCCAACAATGCATAATCCTGTATGTAAAGCCAAATCAAGATAGAATCAGACTAGAAACAGTGTTTCAGACAAAAAAATGAGTCATAATGTGAAGATTCAGTTTTTGATATGAAAAGATCTTAAAAAATACGTTTAGATTTTTCATTATGTAAGATAAAAGTGTTTTGGGTTGCTATAAAGTGGTGGTCAACCAAAGTTACGCCCTTGTATTTACAGAATACATACTTGTTACCAACTGGCTCTAGGTTGGTGAGAAAAAGGGAGGCAACACAGCCTACCACTTTTCCAAGGTAGGTAACAGTTGCCTTAGCAAACTCACATTTCGCCAGATTAATGTAGTCTCGTATGGATATGAATCGACAAAAGTGCGAGTCTAGTTGAAAGAGGTTGATGGGTTGGTCTTGCTGCATTTAAGGTGGTATATGAGAGTGTCAAAAGAATGAATGGAAATGTCGGATATAGTTGCATGACAAAAGGGGGACAGTGGAAGAAAGCTGAAGAATACCAGAAGGTACATGGATTTATGGACTTTGTCTATATATGAGGATGAATGGCCTATAAAGAGATTCTGATTCTGATTCAAACATTTTGGGGTTTTGGTGTAGGATGTGATTCAGCCTTTCGGAGACCTTTAATTAACATACTGATATGTGGATGGGACATGGCTGAACACGGTGCCCCTGAGGACAGTTTGATAATAAAGTTAATAACGCAGATGTAGACTTGTATGGTGGAAGATTTAATCTTTTTTTAACAATATATTTATTGTTTTGCACATAGAAAATATACAGTCACAGGGACAGTAACGTTATGAACATCCCCCCTCCCCCCACCCTCAACAGTATAAACACTAAGGGAAGGAAAAAACAAACAAACACAAGAACAAAAAGTGGAAATGAAAATGAAATAAAACACAAAATCAATAGTGGTCCTGTTTATTTATAAGAGGCATGCCAGCTTCCACAAGCGGCACCATTCAAATTTAATCATTAATTTCAGTCTGGTCACTTTCCAGGAACTGCATATAAGTGTCCCAAATCTCGGTGAACTTATTTAGTTTCCCTTTGGCAACATAAATGAATTTCTCCAGTGCCAAGCATGACGTCATTTCCCGTAACCATATTCCAGGTGTAGGGCGGTCCATACTTTTCCACCTCACTGCAATCATTCTCATAGCCTGAAGCAAGAATAGATCAATCATGGGTTCAGTTTTGCGGCCCGGTGCAAAGTGATTAGGGTAAATACCTAATATACAGAGTTTTGCCTCAAGTGGAACCACCATATTAGTCACATGTGAAATCATGTAGGTTACATCTTTCCAAAATGACTGGATTTTTTTGGCATTCCCACATGCAGTGCAGCACATGCCAACAGAGTGCCAACACTATCACTACATTTAGTACAGCTGTCAGGAATGTTGGGGTTGTAGCAATGTAGTTTTACAGGTGTCACATAAGTTCTGAATAGCCACTAGTATTGTATGAGTTTTAGTGCCGTTTTTACAGTCTTTGTTTGTGCCTTTAGACAAGCATTTTCCCACTTATTTTCTGTAATATTTATTTCTAAATCATCTCTTCATGCATTGAGTCTACAGTGGGAATTGTCCTTCGATTTGCATCGTAACATACCATACTATACTGACAGCTGACCTCGAGCATCCTTATTACTTACAATAAACTTCTGTAAAGCTGACATGGGAGGTCTATCCAGGGAA